CCCCCTTCCCAGCCTTGCTTCTGATCTGACTCTCACACGCCAGGGTCCCAATCCACCTTTTTCTGAAAACTACCACACTTTGCCAAAGAACACCAGGCAGCCTTCAGGGAGCTCACCGCCACCACTAAATCGCAATTTGCCGAGTGACTACAAGTATGCACAAGATCGTGTTAGCCACTTGAAGATGTCCCAGGAGGAAAGGAAAGCAAATAAGGATGGAACTGTTTGGCAGCTTTATGAGTGGCAGCAGAGACAGCAATTTAAGCATGGCAGCCCCACTGCCCCGCTTTATGTAGGCTCTTCGGATTTTATTGATCGGGGTAAGTCAAAAAGTTCATTGGATGTTCCACGATCAATATCTGTTCCACCCTCTCCATCTGATATTCCTCCACCTGGACCTCCAAAAAGCTTTCTCCCGAGGAGACCGCACACTCCTGCAGAAAGGCTCACAGTTAAACCATCTGATGAGAGACAGACTGTAGACAGTCCTTTCGCTGGATCACCTAGGAAGATTCGAAGTAATGCTCTAAAGGTTTGTATGCAGCATAACAATAATTTCAAGCTATTTTACACGTAGTGTCATATATTGATTATTTAATTTAGTAATTTTTGTTGCATCCTGCCTGAAAGATCTTGCAAACTGTGAGAGTTAACACAATGGGTAATTTTCTCCTAAAACTCCTATCGTTGTGGTTATCTCAGATTCATTTGTGTGTGTGTGTTTTTGGAAAGGCAAATTAGTAACTCATCATACTGACTTGGAATATTTTCATTCAAAACGTGGGAGGTGTGTGTGTGTATAAAATATATACAAATTGTAGTGTTTCAATGAATAGTGTGGAGAACAATATAAAAGACAGCAAGATGAACACATCTTTGATTTATACTTATGGTCATGGCTTTAAATGTTTGCCATTCTACTTTCTCTTAACCTTTTGCTTGTATAGTTGGTCATATAGCTAATCCAGTTTGTAGATACGGCTGAAAGCATCATTTTTTTTCATGCATTTGACAGTTTATGTGCTTTGCAGAGTTGATAGCTCTGGACTAACTACAATCAGGTAGTGTTGGTCTTAAACTTTAACCTTCTGCAGAATTTAAGTGTGGTTGACTGTAGGCATTTTTTAACCTCTTCTCCAGAGATGACAGAGGCTTTCTCACTCAGTACTTTCTGTGGCTCTACTTGCCTGAGGAAATTAGGGAAATTAAGGGTTGAATCAATGTAGAACTTGCTTGTCTTGGTAGGACTTACACTGGAATAAGTGGAAATAAAAGCCTCTGCATTCAGCCAATTCTTTAACCTCAAACATAAGCTCTGTAGGGGAAGGTATTTGCCAAGAAAGAACCTCGTACATTCACAAACTCAGCGTGAGTTCAGGACCGTGAATTTCAGTTGTGTGCCAACTTCATCATGCACAGCAGATTTTTCTGAGTATATGCTGTGTAGCAGTCAGATGTCTTTCAGCATCTCTAGATTTGTAACTCTAAGTTGGGGGATGAAGCAGTTTGGTGATATGCAGCACTGAAAGTTATAAACTCTTGTTATATCAGACATCAGTTTCTCTACGTTGAAGTTGAAGCAGCATTACATCCCCTATGAGGGAATGTTTAGTAGTCTCTTTCCTTCCTGTGTGGTGTAGATGCATAAATTTTACTCATAAAATAAAACTCTTTTCATGTCACATTGATTTTTATATGAAGCCATATGTGAAAACAAAATTTTCACTGCCAAATTTCTCTGCAGAGGTTTCTTGAGGAAAAATGTTTGTGTTCTTGTATGTAAGCACACAGCATCATTTTACATTTAAATGTATATGTCTACAGAAGTTTGTGATACTTCCCCTCAATGGAATGCTTTATTTAATTCCACCCACAAAAACAAACAACAACAACAACAACAAAAAAAAAACAACAGAACAAAACAGCATTCAGTGAGATTCAGACAGGAATAAAAATAAATCATCAGACATTTGGTCTGCCTTTAAGAAAGCCATAAGAGCTTGGTATTAAGGGAAAGATGGAAGAATGGATGTGAAATGGATACTTTGTAGTATAAGCAGAAAGAGACAGAAGAAATCACTTAATACAACCTGGTATTAATGGGACCCCTTGCCACAAGGTGTCACTCCTGTCAGTGGCTTAACAGTGGAGAACTGTTCCATAGCTAAAGGAGGACATTCACAGTTGTTACTGTATGGTGTACAAGACCCCTATTTAAAGGTGTTAAGCTAAGCAGGTTTTTTCTGGGAGACATTACGTGTGTCTGTGTGTCTGCGTGTGAAATGTTGAGTGTTTTTTTGACTTGGTGAAAACAGCTTTGCACATGCTTCTGAAGCTGCTTGTGCTGCCAGAATCCATCGCCCTGTCCAGCATCACAGGTTCTACATTTGTTGTATTTATTCATTTATAAGTTCTGCATAATTATTGGAGGATCTGGCTAGCCCATGATCTAAGCATGGCTTGGATTCGAACAGAAAATTTATAGCAGAGGTGCATATCTTCAGAATGCTCCCTCAAGTACAGCATACATCTCACTTGAGACAATGCTTATAATTCTGCCTGGGGCTTCTTACAGAGCTCAACTCACATTGATCGACGCTCGATGCCAGCTATGGGCTACATGACCCATACTGTGAGCGCACCAAGTTTGCATGGCAAGTCGGTAAGTTGAAGGAGCAATTTCTTTGCCTTTCATGTCATCATTGTATTGTAGTTAAGTTTTAAAATCCTGCTCATTCCATAGTTGTTTTTTTCATTAATTGAAACATAAATAACTTGAATGTGAAACTTGAACTTAAGTAGTGTGTGGGAATAATAAAGCCTGTAGGGATTTTGCTCTTATTTGCGTGTGAACAGGAGTGAGCTATTATTACAGGATTCAACTTCTATTATGTTTATTTGACCAAATGCAGAGTTAATGAAATAATTGCTTAACCATGTCAAGTAACTGCTTTCTGGGCACTGAGGTGAAAAACATAATTACAGTTACTCTTCCTGAAGACTGCTAATTTCCTCTTTACAATGTGTCTAAATACCTGCAGCCTGAAGAGCTAACATTGCTTCTCATTCGATTAAGGAGACATCAGGCTAAGTTGGCTAGTATACGAAATTACACAATCGCACAATTACTGCAGCACTTGCCAACTAATTCCACCTATCAGGTCAGCTGCTGCTTGGTTCATCTGTACCGTATGACATTTTGTGACTCTGCAAACGCTTCGTCAGTGGCATGCTTGGGTCTGTGCTTTCTTGCCCATTCTCTGGTATTCTGCAATGCCCAGATCATTTGCAGTTTTTCTTTGCTATTCTTGCTGTCAGAAATAAGCATTTGAATCTACAGAGTACCAGTGCATATGTTTCAAAGTGTTATGTATACTTCCTCTTTGTACTATTTCTGAAAATGCTGCGTTTTCAGAAATGTGTGTTACAAGATTAGATATGCTCATTCTAAAGCAAAACCATTTCTTTGTGCTTCTTTCATGGTGAGATTGGCTCCCTGTACCACATGCTGCCTCACCTGCAAGTTAAAATGCATCAGCCAGTTTGTAGCTTCATATGATCTTGTAACTGTCAGTTCTGCAGGTGAACGTGAGCTCATAAACATTCGTGGGCACCTTGAACCATGAACGGTGCTCTTGATTGCATTGATGTATGAAACTCCAATGTGGGATGAAACAAATGTTTTTGAAGAGCACATTGGTTTATATTAGAGCCTCAAAAATAGGAATAAAACATGGTGACTTTTTTTGTAATTGGTGGAGACTTTATATTGGCCTAAAATTCAAGGCGTTTTTTTTTTAATTTGGAAAAGTTTACTTTCCTTGTCTCACCTACAGAACAATTGCACTAAGGTCATCTATAGTAATAGGGACTTCTCCTTTAAAAATGGGCATACTTTCTAGTCAAATCCTCTGGCATATTCAAAAGGTACTTGGGACAATAATTTAGCTGATGGCGTCTAAAGAAATGTAAGTGTAACGTGTCAATTTCACTGCAGCAAGGGTTTTCTTTCCTTTTTTTAAATACACAATCTCATTGGCACAAGCTTGAGAAAGGTATAGTTGTACTTTTCTTTTAGTCTGATTTTTAGTGAACTCAGAATAGGAAATTGTCAGAATTTCAGCAAGAACTGTAGGAATTTTGGCTTCTTACCAAGTCTGCTTGCAGCAGTTAAATGTTACTTCATTATGTATCACAAATACCTCTTAGGAAAAAGATGTAACTTTCAAATAACATCTGTGTATGCTTTTCTTGAAGTGATTCTAAGGAAGATATTAGTAGTTGAATGTACCTATTTGACTAAGCTGACAACAGTTGGGGTGAGCCACTGAAAAAGAGGGATCAAGTTGAATGCTATCACTTAAAAAGTGAAATGGATTCTCTAATCACGAATGAGATCTTAGTGTTTTATTCATGAAGCTTATTACTTGCTTTCTTAAATGAAGGAGTGCTTATCTTAAAACGTGTGTGAAATCAGATCAAAAAGTGTTCTAATGATTTTTATATACAGGCTTCTATTTATACGCGATATTCAGTTAGGTAGAAGACTTCTCCTAGAGATATATTGTGCTGGAGGACAAGTCCATAATCTTTTTGATGAAGGGATAGCCAGCAGAAATTGGTCTTGAAAAAAATATATGAAAATGTATTGTTTGTGTAGTTGTGTGTCCCACTAGCAGTGTAAAGATCAAGTCTATCTGTACAAAGAGTGGACATGAGGTAGTATGAGGAAATATTTTGCCCATTTTTCCAGCTGTAAATAGCAATATGCTGGTGGAGCAAATGTGCTTTTGATGTTCTTCCTACTCTGTTATTTTGTTTACTTTTTCATCATTTTCTTTGGATATCCAATCTATTTTAAAGTTATTTTTTTCAAACCTTCAAATGTATTGTATTTTTTTTTTCTATGTACTTACCTGAAGGCTGATGACACTTATATCCAGTTGAAAAAGGATTTGGAGTATTTAGATCTGAAGGTAAGCTTCTATAAAAGTTGACTTCCATTATTTTATAACCTAGCTGTCTTTGTGTGCCATCTTTACATCTGCAGGTTTTGGAATCATTTTTCTTTCAGAGACTGAAACTCTCTGTCTTTTGCTATTGTTGTGCTTAAAATAGTGTGTGCTTATAGTAGTAGCTATAGAATAGACGTGGAAACTCGGAAAATTTTGATACTTTGTTTTCTAGTTGGAATTTGCATCACAGATGCAAATTCAGATGGGTGGTATTTTGTGGATTTAAATTAAATAAGATTAAAAAGTGCTTCAAAATGTTTTTGCTATTGCTTTAGAGCCAATATGAAGTCAGCTCCTCTAAGTTAAGAGAGAAGTTATTTTAATTCAGCTTTTTCCTTTTAAATCTACACAAGCTGACTTTTCTCTTGTTTTTATAATATATTTATAATGCATTATTCTGTGAAAATGTGGTGATTAATTGGAAGCTTTTGTTATTTTCATGTTCTGATGGCTAAGAGATCTATATATCAGATCTATATATTCATTCATGCATACATATAATTTGCCCATGTAATAATAGGTGATATTTCCTAAAGATAAAATAAAAATATAATATGGTGTTCAGCATCAGAATGTCTGCCTAAATGAAATTACTTCTAAATCTGATACATCTGATAGTTGGCCATTTGAAAGCAGTTCTTGATATCAGGTATTTGAAGGAAAAATCAAACTGCATAATCAATGATATTGCTTAATAAAGCAGTCTACCTCATTCCATGCTGTCTAGCATGTCTTACCATATACAAATCATACGGTGTTTCTGAAAATAAAGGTGAAATTTGACACCTTAATATCCTTGTTTATTTGTCTGTAGTTATCACTGATGCCAAGAGGCTTTGCCTATGTGCCACTAATGAGCTGCCGGGACCACTAGTATGGCAACTTCAATTTCATCTGCTGCTTGCATGATTGAATATACAACCAAATACATCAATGGAAAATATTAGCAATACAGACATATTATATGTATCGCATCATATATATCGCGGTGTATGTAGATGAAATGATCACATATATAAACTGTTACAGTCATGAACATACAAATGTAAAATCAGTTGGACATGTCTCACTTAGGCCTTGTTCTTGATGTATTCTTGGCTGTGCCAAATGCATCTGCATCCCAAGCCTTTGGTTGAGTTTTGTGACATTTCAATGTAGGAGGTCCTACAATTTGACAGGTCATGAATAAGTACAGTATTCTGTCCATCCTACAGCGATGGCTTTCACTGTTACAAGTAAACGTGTTGTAAGTACCTGAAAATGTTAGGTGCTTAGGGAAAATAATCAGATGGGTTATTAACTTTTTAGTGGATTCCCTCCAGATTGGTTTGTTGCAGCCAAGGTATGAAGAAAAAGCTCGGTCCCCTTAGAGCTCCTCTTGTGCCTACCAAAAGCAGCCAGAAAGAAAAACGTACGGGGGCAAACTGATCTTTCTGCAAGAAGAAATGTAGTGTTACTTTGAGTTTCCTTTTGACAAATCTTGACAGTCAAAGTGTCGAGTGAGGTTCCATAAGAATGATATAATTTTTGAAGGAGGCAGTTTCTTTCTCAGATATTTTCATGCTCAAAGGAATAGCCTTCTTTCAGTAATGATCTGAAAATATAAAATTCAGATCGGGGTGCTGAGAGATTAAAATGATTTTGTGAAATTTGAGTAGATGTCTGTTCTTATTGAATTTGTGCTTTGCCACTAATTATAAATGAATGAATTCACAGCATGAGGAAAGCTAGTATCAACGAAACAAAGCAAATTACAAATTGATTTGATAATGGTGGAATATTGTGAATTTATGATTAGTATACAGAGTACCTTTCATTGAAGACATTGAAGGCTTAAATATAATGCTCTTTATTTCAAACATCAATTTTGACTTCATTGGCCTTTGAGTTGGATCTACTCTGATGAAACAATTTCAAATAGGATTAAAAAATTTAGAGCAGAAGCCAAACGTTTTTACTTCATTATCTCTGAAGATATTTCTTCGTAGGTATTTTGAAATATAACTTTTCAATATGGAATAGCGATTAAACATGTAATTAACTACTAAATTCCTGCCACAGTATTAAAAAGTTGCAATAACACCTTTCAAGGCATTAGTAATTCGTCGTAAGTCAGATGTTTTGTCCCCAGAGAAACCTCAGTCTTATCCTACTTTACTAATCTATTTTTTATTTTTATTTAAAAGCTGAAAAATATTATCTTAGAAATATTTTGATGTTAATACTAAGATGGTATTGTTCAACGTTACAGTGCTTTGTCATGAGAGTGGTATAAGTGAAATAAATATGCTTTACAAATATTAATCAATTTCAGGATTTTTCTCCTACATGAAAACTAGTTCTGACATTAAAAGAAAATGCCAGGGTGTTCTATTCTTTTTCACTTACAAAATAGAGGTATGTAGGACATGACAGAGATGTATCTCTGTGCTATAACACAACCATGCTTTTTCTGCAAATAGATTTCCATGCGTGTGTTATGGCTTTTTTTAATCCCTTAATGAAGGTGTAAAGATGTGACCCTGTATAAGAAGAGCAGAAATAGTGAGTGAAAGATTCTTTCCCTACAAGTCTCTGACGCGGTGTTGCAAACAAAGGTGGAACACAATCAGGGAAAGATTTTTCCCTTGCCAAGATAATAAGTTTCAATCAGGCTAAAGGAGGTCTGGATGGCAGTTGGACTTTCAGGAATGTCTGTGAAGTATTTGGGAGACTTAAACAAAACATGAATGAGTATAGCCTGCTGAAGTGCAAGTTCATGCTTCTAAGTATATGTTGTGCAACCACTCTAAGCCAATCTGGATCCCTCTCCAGTTGTTCAGCACTGGTGCTGCTTCATTCTTCTGCAGCCACACATGAAGCCGTTTTGTTTGTACTGCTGTTGGAAGAGGTTGCTAGTACAAGGTTGTGCCACACAGGTATCTAAGGAAATGCTGCACAGCAGGTATTTTTTATGGGAGTAATGGTAAGTGTGAGTGTGATTCTGATGGCTTCGTTCACAAAGGGACGTTGCTCCAGTTATCAGCATAGAGCTCTTGGTGCAAGAGTTATGTTCTACATGACAGAAAATGTCTTGCCATTATCCCTGGCACTTGTTAAACTGTGATTGTGCTGTGTTGGTATGTGTGCTTTGTGAAAGTAAAAAACAAAAGTCTTACAGTTGGATGAATTACCTATCAATGTCATTATTTTCAGTAGATATCTAATCATAGTTTCCATAATGGGAAAATATATAGATTCTAAACCTTGAGGATCTGTGTGAAAGAAGAACATGAAATTGCTGCTGCTGCTCATGGAGTTTTGTGTGCTAAGGTTTTGTTTCTTCAATCTTTACATCTATAACAAGCTATTGTTCAAACTTGTGTTTAAAACAGATAGAAAATAATGGACCTCTGATCAACATGATTTACAAAGTGCTGAAGAACTCAGCACAGGGGTTACTTTCCAGTATACATGTAAGATTGCTTGCATCCAAAATGCGTTCATCCCATTGCTTTTCAAAATAGCAGTCAATGTGTACGTATTCTGGCTTTTGCAGGTGTCTTATAGCAAACAGTAGAACTTTTTGTAAGATTTTTTTTTTTTCCCTTTTCTTCTTTGTTCCCCCACTGCCTTTTGGAGTCTGTATGTGAAGTTATGGCTGACCTCAGTGTTTGGTTTCATTTTGTCATGAAAACGATTGTGTCAAGCAGCAAGTCTGATATGTAATTTGGAAAGTGTGAAAGCATGCTGAATCTTCATTATGTTCTCATACTGCTTGAAAATCAACAAAATCTGTATAGCTGTGATGATGTAATTTTAATTCTTCAGAATTGGTACACTTTTTTTTTGTGTTAACTTCTTTGCTTTGAAAGAGGCTTTTGCATTCTGTTAGTTTGCGGGTAATAAAATCATTACTTGTTATTACTTGAACATGTTGACATTTCTTCCTATCTGTAATTATTTCTTACACATAGGACCTTGCACTTAAATAATTCCATTTAGTACCTTTGGAAGACAGGATTTTTCTTAAATGTATTTACTGTTGAAAATATTTGAAAATCAAAACATAACTTTTGAGAGACAGTGAAATGCTTTTTGATTTTGAAGTGGGAAAGTAATAAATATGTAACTTTCTCCATGTGAAATCCCACAATAAGTATGTTAATGGAGCCTACGGTCAGAGGGGAGGAGATATTAAGTATCAGTAGTTATTGTAATCCTGTCTTAAATGTAGTTTATCTGAAAATACTCGTATAGCCTGTGAAATGAGAAAGGAAGTTGTATCAAAGATTGATTTCCACTTGCAGTAAAAAATAATTACTTTAAGAAATCAAGTGTGATCCTGTTAAGTTAATTAGGAAGTTGTGTTGCTTAAGTCTATAGACTGCAGTCAGCAACTAGCAAACTGCTGTTTCTCTCCCACTAAAACAAGTAAAACAAAGGAAACCACGCCAACCAAAAGAGCAACAACAAGAACTAATATCCATTTCAAACAACAAAAAATAAATTTACCACTTATGTTATTCAAAATAATTAGGTATCTCTTCTTATATTCTTGCATGTATTTGAACACTGTACTTCTCAATACCAGGTGTTGCTTTGGTAAGATAGTATTTGATTAAATGGATCTTTAAAAGTATTCTAATTAATATGTAATTAGTATTCTAACTGAGTAAGGCTTTTAAAATTGTACAGTTCATGAGCAGTGCTATATGACCATTCTCTTAGCTTTGTTTATTCATCAAAAATGTCAAATGTAAACACTGGAAGTAATAAACTTTTCTACAGGGATAGACATGCCTTCATCTTAGGCTTGCTGGAAGGTAGGAAGTGTGATATAGTACAGTCTGTATCAATTTAAAAACTAAATTACGTGAGGAGGTAATCTCATGAGAAATGGAATATGGAAACAGTGATTTATGGAATGAGAAATTAGAAGTATTATAAACATATCAAAATAGATCAATGACATTTAAATTCCACCCTGCAGTTTTATAGCAGTCTGTCTTTAATAAAATTCACCCTGTGCTATGGAAGAGACCATCCTTTGTAGAATGAAATAGATCCAGCAAGGTATATTTCAGTCATCGATTAACGCTGTTATTCTTGCAGTTGCACATTCTAAAAACTATTTGAGTCCCCATGGGCTCAAGAAAGCTATTAAAAGCAAAGAGATAAAACTGTTAAATTTTGCAGGAACAGGAAATTTTAACTACAGACAAATGGGATTATGCTACTCTAAGAGTTGTTAAATCGCATAGTATAACTGATGATCCTTTTTGATTACATTGTTGAAAAGTGCACTTGTAAGAGACTTGTATTTAATTTTATTTCTTATTCATCCTTGTTTTTAGACTTGCATATTTAACAAAGCTTTTGTTCTCATGGCTGAAACATATTTTTAGTTTGCAACAGATTTCTCAGATCTTTCAAACCTGTTCCTCGTAGGTGTCGGGACGCGACACGCTAAAAGAGCGAAGTACGAAACCCGTCAAGGTTGCAGAAAGTGACATCGATGTAAGTATCAGCCACCACTTCAGAAACCCTGCTATTGTTTTGGCCATTTGTTGGTACTGTGAACTGTTTGCATTTATTATTCTCTTTGGGATAAAATATTGTTAGTGGAGACTTTTCTTCTTAAAAATCTGATGTTACATACGCCAATATGGTTTTATTTTCAGGTCAAGCTGAGCGTTTTCTGTGAGCAGGACAGAATTCTGCAGGACTTGGAGGACAAAATAAGAGCTCTTAAGGAAAATAAAGTAAGAGTTAAGAAATCTTAATAAAATTTAAAAATACTTATAAAATATGGAATTACAAGTAAAATCAAATTACTGGATGCTGCTTGCTTTGTGATAGTTTTCTTTGAAAATGTGCATCAACTTTTATGTGGAAAGTATTTTTTTACGGTAAGATTGAGTACCTACTTTTAGAAAACGTTTTTGAAGATAAATGTTTTAAAACCATATACAATTAATCTGGCATTGTTCACAAATCAGTGTGTATACACAGTTCTGTGTGGTTTTGCTTAATGTCTTCTGATTCATATAGTTGGAGGCAGTCATGTTTCATTCGCAGTTCTTCCCACGCGTGCCAGCACTGTTTGCATAAACAGCAGCATGCTGTGTGTGGTAGTGAGATTCCCATTTGTAGTCATTTGGGAACTATGCTGGTTTATAGATAATTTTGAGCACTGTTCTCAGGTTTGTGACTGAAATGCTGGAATACTCCTGGACAAGTTTATACTTGGAACCCTCTTACTTCCCTCCATCCCCTATTGAGTCATAGTTTGAACAGTAAACAATACCAGAAGTGTCTCCTAGTCTTCCCTTGCATGCGTGTATGTGCTTCCCTTACAATGAGCTACAGCTGTCAAAGAGTCTAAGGCCAGGTGGTTCAGAAAAAAATGGAAGTGCCATCCAAGTAGATTCTTCAGAGAGTTGTTGTGCAGAAATGCCTCACTGTTACTTCTGACTGAGTGCATCAGGCCTACTTAGTGTTTAGGTAGTGTTTTAATCCCTCACGTGGCTGCTTTAACTATAGCAGTGAGTGAGAAGTTGACTATAAATAAACAGTTAATACCGTGGTGTGCTAGGGCTGTCACAATTCTGTGCTGCTTAAGGAGATTCTTCTAAAATTGTAAATTACAGTTTTGCACAGACTCTACATAGAAAAATTCTCACTGATTCGTGTTTTCCATGGGTTTGACAATTTAAACAGATGCTGTAGAAAATATTAGAAAATGTTAAGTGATTAAGGCTCCTGCAGTATTTCATTCATTTACGTCTTAGTCTCCATAGTAGCAAGCCAATCCTAACCTAGTGGCTTAGAGGGAACACTGGAAGTGTAGAATACAGCTTTTACGTTCACAAAGATAGATTTGTTTATTAAGTTTGCTGTCAATGCTGTAAGCTTACTGTTGTCTGCCTTTCTGTTCTCTGCTGCTCCTTAGGATCAGCTGGAGTCTGTTTTGGAGGTGTTACACAGGCAGATGGAACAGTACAAAGACCAACCACAGCATGCAGAAAAAATTTCCTACCAGCAAAGACTTTTGCAAGAAGATCTTATACATATTCGGGCTGAAATATCCAAAGTTTCAACGGTATGTATTTCAGGTTGTTTTCAGAAAACAGTAGTTAAGATGCCAATTAGAGGAAAACTGCTTTTTTTTTTTTTTTTTTTAAATCCTATTGTGAACTGATATTGTTAAAGTGCAGGATACTAGTTCAGAAAAAAAATGTATATGACTGACCTCTACAGCTTTCCTCTTCAATGCACTCCCTTCAGAAGCTCAGAATTTCATTTAATAGTTTTGTCTGTTATATATAGGGCTTAAATTGCAAATCTTTCAGCTAATCCTTTCCGCAGTGCAAATATAAATATGAATCTATGATATTTTTCCAAGGGAAAAGGCATGGGTCTGTTTGTATTTCAGTCAAAATTTACTATTACTACTACAACTTAATATTCAAATGCAATTTAATGTTGCATTTTTCTTAAATAAAAATATTTGTAAGAATTGGCAATGAAAGAATAATATAAACCTGGGTGTTGTGTGCTCACTGTATTAATCTTGTTTCTCAATAAAAACAGGGTCTGCTCTTCATAAAATTGCTTGAACACCTTTTCTGTAATAAGATCTGAACATTAAGATGCCAGTAGTGATTAAATGTATTTTCTGCAGGCAGAAAACATTGTACACATACAAGTGGTCTGTGAAAGCTCTTCACGTTTAATCTGCAAAGTAGCAAGTCATTGTGAGAATAGCTGCACTGGCCCAGTCCAAGGTTTCTTCTCATGCAGGGCTTCAGCAGTGGGAAAAGGATGTGTTTTGGAAAGAGTAAGGTTAGGAGATGGGTAGAATTTTCTGTGATAATCAATCCAGCTTCTATTTTCTGATATTAAAAACAAAAATTCTTGAGACCATTATTTTATGTCTGTTTAGTAATCCTCAGTATATCTAATTTCCAAGTCCACTTCCCTGTTCAATTCTGTGAACCTTTTGCATCTAAAACGTAATTTGACGAAGTATTGCATAGATCTGCTCCCCATTGTGTGGACAGCCACTCTGTTGTTTGTTTTGAGCCTGACTCACACTTGTTTCATGTGATAGACCCTTGTTTGTGTACGAGGGTGGGGAAGTCTGTCAATGCATCTCATGGTTTTGTGGGCCTCCAGTATTTCTTCTGCTCAACTCCTCAGTTATCTCTTTTCCAAACTTCAGAGGAAAAGAAACCTACTCCATCACTCTTTACACTGACTTGAATTTTCACAGTTCTGGGTCAGAAAGCATCGTGTGGTGTCATGGGTGCTGGAAATAATCTATCATAAAAGTGATTGGATAGCTTTATTTTCCAGGTGTCTGTTTGTTTATTTGCTTACAATGACAATGAAACACTGCAATCACAACTTTAAAACTGTAAACTTTGTGTCTTAAAATATCATTTCTGGTTCAGTGTCTGTTTGAATTTTAATTGTGAGCTTGTTTGAAGTAGAGTGAGAAGGTAGAAAGGAAGTAAAATTTGCTTTGTTCATAGCACAGTAGAATCAGTTAAACTGTAAACAGCAGTTTTATGCTTAGGAAATGGTTTTGTGTCTAGCAAGAATTTCTTAACTAGGGATTCTTGATGTAGTCTTGCAATCAATAAAGCATTTTGAAGTGTATCTTCAAGTTTATATATGTGTGTGTATATATGTATAAAATACAGGCTACAGAACAGACTTTTTTGCTTCTCTTTATAAAGGCAAAAATCCATCTTAACAACACTCAATTGCTCGATTAGAGAATTGATATTGATATCCTGTTTCATTGTAATTGTGCTAGAGTATTATCTTTGTTATTAGGAAATGGAAAATGCCTGGAAAGAATATCTGAAACTAGAAAAGGACGTGAGCCAGCTGAAGAAAGCCTTGCAGGAACAAATGAACAGTTCATTAGTATCTCAGGTGAGTCTGTTTCCAGACTCTGGTTTACGTGTGAGAAAATTATCTCTGAACTTGAAAGCTATCATAAGAGAGATGCTCTGTAACTTTTGCATTGTATTCAGCTGTCACATCTTAGTTTGCAGAGTTCGGAAATCTTAACTGCATTACTGTGCAGTAACTAGCTATCTTCTGGATGTCTAATAGTTTCCTATGCAAATTTGTCATTATTTTATTATGTTTTCATTACATGCTGACATCTTGACATTGCTAATGTATTTAATTTATAAGACTATGCAAGACTTCTTACTCATACGTTTATTTGATCTGACATTGTTGGATTCTTTATCCATTTTTAGGAACATCAGTTGCTGGCTTGTTATTGTCATTACTTGCTCTTTGTCATGTCTTCCCTTTATGGAAGATTTATCTCTGCAGATTGTTTTGTGAAGTGGAATAAGTGTTTAACAGCATCTCAGTTTTAAATCAATTATTCAGTTTTGAATCTTATGAAGAAGCTTTGTTTGAAGCTGAGCTATTCTGTTTGCTGAACTGGATGTGGCATATGAGATTAATTCTGCATACCTGCTTATAACTGATGATTTTATTCTTAGGGCCAGGAATACAGTCCAGGTTATTTTTTCCATGTCTGTGCACAACAGCTGAATTTTAAAAGACAGAATCTAAGAAACAAAGCCAATGTGTTTAATTGGCTGAAACATTAGCATACTTTTCCAAGTATTTTGGATCAAAAAACATTTTTAACTTACATATTTGCAACAAACATCAGATCAGAGGCAAGTTAGTATATCTGTTTTCACTATTAGTGGATAAACTTCTATCAAAACAAGAGGCGTAGAACCTTCTTAGATGTTTCAATCTTCAGATTCCATTTTCAGCCACTTTTCAATTTGGCGTTTTTGGGGTGTGTGTAGTCAATTTCTAGAGCCAGAATTTCATTTATTTGAGCTCAGCTGTAGAATACATTCCTCCAAAACATCGCGGAGGTATTTTAGAATAAAAATCAGGTCTGTATGAAGTTCAGTTGATTAACAAAGGGGATGTTCAAGTCTACGCAGAATGTATTTGAACAAAATACTTTAATAAACAGTTTTCAGTTGTGTATTGAACTTGCTTAAAATACTGTCTCTGTGGCAAGTGATTTAGCAGTACATGTAGATGGGCAGATGGTTTGCACAGAACAAATGTTAATTTAGTTTAATTAGCATCTCATACCAAGCGTATGTGTAAACATACCTATGCACAGTATGTGTTTCATGTGTGCATACTGATATATGTATGTGTATATATATGTATATACACATACACAATCACACATAAATATATATACGTGTTTCTGAATATGTTTTGGAGATATGAAGGGGAACCAATTTTCCCAGAAAGCAGTGAATATTCTTAAAATCATATTCCTTCAAAGAAGTTTCATTATAAGTACCCACAATCATTGTCTTAGATTGCTACTTAGCTGTGTATAGGCTCAAGATTATTTATCCAGCATTTTGCAACAGCATTAGGTAAATACACACTGTACTGAAAAAACTATACGTTCTTCATTAAATATTACTAAAAATTCCATAAAATTGCAGGTGCATGTTGCTATAGAAAACAGCTAATATTATTTATGTATAGCATTAACAGATTAAAAACTAAATGGTTCAAACTACTTGTTCAAAGTAAATCTTACTTTTAAGAGTGTAGCTTTGTTGTCTTTTGTTTAAGAGTCCCCCAATCAGGTATGCTGAAATTAATGTAGAACTATTTTTCTAAGTGATAACCTCTCACTAAGTGTTTCTGCTCTAGTTTTATAAATCATTTTAAATTATGTTTCTGTGTGAAGGAATTCAGAGAAACTGATGCATCTCTCCAAACTAACTTTTCACACTTGCCCATAAAGTACTTTTATACCCTTTGGTAAACAGCAATCCTGACTTTCATAATTCAAAAATAAATTAATCTCTTTCTATTTTAGATCTACCCCATTTTTTGGTTTAAAATATTCTCTTCACACTGAAATTTAAGTAATGGGAAGAAATAATATTAAAAGACCTCACGGTTTGTGTATATCGCTGATCATGCAGCTTCTCTGGGTGATTTCAGAAGCAGGATTTTTTGTACGTGTGGGAATTTTTAACCAGTCTTGAGATGTGATCATTGTAAATCCATCATTTGGTTCCTTGTAGTGTGATTAATCTCAGAAAAACGTAATGAAATGTGCAAATTTATAGTTTGTGTACTGACAGTCTTTCAAGATATCCCATCCATGGAGTGAGTTTACTACAGGCAAATAACGTTCTCCATCATTTAAATGTTTGTGTTCTTGGCACCCTGTTTGCTGATCTATAACTTGACTGAACATATTTTCTGAGCTAAAACAGAAAGTAGAAAGCAATTGATATGCTTTCTCTAGTTCTATGAGGTATAAGAGCTTTTATTAAAGTTTTTCTCTTTCAAGTTTATGAGATTAATTAGCAGTTATTTTGCAGCTCCTGACAAGTGACAGATCCCTAGCGTTGCTAAGGAGTTTGTAAGCAATTCCTAACTAGTGTAGCACAACATTCTGCTTTATAAAACCACGTGGAAAACAATATTACTTATTTTTTCTTAGTGCCAGTTTTGGTTTGGTTTGGTTTTTTTGAAGGAAGAGTTATTAGGCATTGATTCCTCAGGAAAAATAATAGATTACAGTAAATTAACAAGATGACTTAGAACCTGTAGAGGGGAAAAAACAAACAAACAAACAAAAAAAACAACCAACAGAAAGCCACACGCCTTGAATAGCTGTTTCTAGCTCTGGTTTGTGATTGCAATAAACATGTGTCTGAAATGATGGCTTCAGTAGCCACGGCCCCTAGCCACAAGATACACAAAGGCAGAGTCCAGACAGTAGAGAAAGCTTCCCATTCCTGCCTGCTGGGAAGAATTAGCAGAACAAACAGGACACAAGTTGAGACCAATGAACACATTATATCCAGTAGGCCTAACCACCCAAGTGTAGAAAGAAATTAAATTTGTCATCCCTTCTCAGTTAGTTCTGGTTTTATATTTAATTCATTACAGGCTGTTAGGCAATTTTATAGCATTATTCATGGAGACCGCATATATTTTTTGTTTTTAATATTGGACATTTCTTCTAAATCTGCAATGCAACCTTAGCATCCTAAACTGTGCCAAAGGCTCTGTAAGCTCAGTTTATGGAGAACCAGGATTTTGTAGCCTGAATAATATTGTAGGGAACAATATAGAGATGTCTCATTCCATATGTCTTCTCTAGGAAATCTTCCAAGACTCAGAAAATGCTCTAAATTCTATGGGTCTGTGAGTAGTGTGGTTTTTGCTTGTTTTAAATATTAAAATAATTGTGTAACTTATTTTTATGCCCGTAAGTTCTCATGTAAGTTCTGAAACATTAATTTGGTTTTGGTAACAAAAAAATATGAATCCATTATAAATTAAAAAGGGATTTTTTTTTTCCTGAAAACTATTAGGAGAAAACACAAATACAAAAAGACTTGTGGAGAATTGAAGATGTTACAGCTGGCTTGAGTGCAAATAAAGCAAATTACAAAACCATAGTGGACTCCATCAAGAATCCAGGTAAAGAGAACATAATTAAAATGTAAAACAAACAAACAAACAAAAAACAACAACAAAAAAAAACACCAGAAAACAAATGCAGTTGAATCTTTGAATCTATGTGAATACTTGAGAAGTATGTTCCAAAGCAGAAGACACAGTTAATTCTGATAATGTCTGCATTGGAAATCTCTGTAGCTTGAGCACATTATTTTGGCATTTCTTTGGTTGAGCAAGCAAAAAAGCATGTGTTTTTTCTGTTTGACATACTGAAGCATAACAGGCCATAAAAAAGAGAACAATAGCAGTGGGATTAGTTATGCAGATCACAGAAGTAGCTTCACACGTACACCAGACTCATACCAAAGTAGTATCTGTTCTATATGTTGTCTGGGAGCTCCTCTCTGCATTTGTCTGCTTTTTTTTTTTTTTCCTCTTGGATGCTGCCCGACTGCCCTTGCCCCAGTTGCCTTCCCCCTTCCTCTTCAGGCAGGTGCTTGATGGGCAGAGCAGCAACATCAGCTGTGGAATAGAAGAAAGAAAAGAATGTGTGGTCTGCATTTCAATTGCTTTATTATGTTTTGAATGAAAAAGAACACTGGGATGCCAAGAGGTTGTTAATGCCTCCTGTAAATTTATCTTGTATTTTGGATATCTTTGCTTACCGTTTTACACGCAGATTAAATTGTTCTTGGTGAGATTTTATTTTATTTAAGGTATGGCTATTGGTGCTTAGTCATGTCTAGCTCTGTAGCCATCCAAAGGATTATGAGGTATGGAGCCATATTCAGCCATTGTAATGACTGCGTATGACGTGGACTTTTCCTTCTCTCCTGTTGCCTCTTGCCAAGGGATTTGTTTGAATGGCATTAATGTATATTTTTATTTTTAGCCTGAAAAGCTTATTTGATCCTCATCAAGAAAATGTTTCCCACCCCTGCCATAATCTAGCAGTCATAGATTTTTATATCAAAAAAACTCTCAAAGAACTTGTGTTGAAAATAATTTGAAGAGTGTTAGGGCTGTTTTTTAAAGTTTAATGATATTAATTTCTATTTGTGTGAACATTGTTGATAGATATAAGAAACACAGCATCTAACAAATGTGCGTATTTCTCCCCTAGAAAGAAAAACAGTGCCTTCATTTTCTCAGTCTACAGTGCCTTCCTTACCAGCTTCTCTCACAACTGTGGAGAGCAAACCTTCAGTTCCACAAAGCCCTCCGTCCAGCATGGTCAAACCTTCCCTGGAGGTGAGGCTGTATCCACAGCCTTATTTCCAGGCCAGAACGCAGCAACAAGTACCACAGCTGAAAAAAATTGAGCCACCTCTTCAGTCACCAGTTAGGCTAATGCCAAAGGTTGTAAGTACTGTTGTTGTGAGCCTTGTTCTCCTGTTTCCGTTTGCTTCTGACAAAGTTTTCATGGTTGCTAAGTGCATGCAGTGTGGAGGCACAGCAAAGGAGACACTTGAGGGTTGTAATAAAACTGAGCAATAACAAATACACGAGAGTATTTGGAATCATAGAATCAATAAGGTTGAAAAAGACCTCCAAGATCATTCAGTCCAACTGTCCACCTATCACCAATATTGCCCGCTAAACCATGTCCCTCAGTACAACATCTAAACATTTCTTGAACACCTCCAGGAATGGTGACTCCACCACCTCCCTGGACAGCTCATTCCAGTGCCTGACCACTCTTGGAGAAGAAGTATTTCCTAACATCCAACCTGAATCTCCCGTGGCACAACTTGAGGCTGTGTCCTCTAGTCCTGTGTTTGTAACCTGGAGGCTTACTCACAGTAGCCATGTAGTGTTTTAGAACATACCATAGCAGAGCCTTCCTTGCTGTTTGGTAATGCCTTTTGGTTCATTGGTTATTTGCTTTCTTGGGTCTTGTTTCAAGAACTCAAGCTTCTGGTTGACAGAGAAGAGCATGGTAAAGCAATCATAAATAATTTGTATAATGTTAAGAACTTTCAGACAGTTTATTCCAGACCAGACTGTTTGCCACATACCTGTTCTTTCCTCTGACCAGGAAGATGAAGCACCGCCCAGACCTCCTCTTCCTCAGTTATACAGTCCTGAAGATCAACCACCAGCTGTTCCACCACTCCCAAGGGAAGCCACTGTCATCAGACATACGTCAGTGCGAGGCCTGAAACGTCAGTCGGATGAAAGAAAGAGAGACAGAGAACTAGGACAGTATGTAAACGGAGATTATAGGGTGAGCACTCATAGACCATCTGTGCTTTAAGGAACGTGTGAACCAATAACAGACAATAGTGTCTGTGAAATATATATACTGCTAGATCTTGTAGTGAGAGGAGAGAGAGAGAGAGAGAATGGAAGAGATCTGTATGTTTTAGTAATGGCAGAGACAGATTCAGTAATCCAGAAACAAAACTGCTGGGATTTGTTTTAAGACTTGCTGTCTGTGATGTCATTTGAGCCAGTAAATATCTTTCCACACAGGTAGAACTGCGTTCGTACGTGAGTGAACCAGAACTAGCAATGATTGGTGGTGACCTCAGCCAACCTTCCAGTGGTTTCATAACTGTTGATAGCGGATACCAGACGTTGCCTACTCGTGGTAAGTCAGGAATTAACATAGTTGATTTTTAACAGAACTTTTTGTATAGGAGCTTCTCTCCTAGGATTTTCTGGAGATGATCTTTATCTTGAGGTTGTTATTTTTAGGTTAGCTGTGCAGTGCTGTGAAGTTCTAGAGAATCTGTGATTTTAATGGTGCCATTATGGATTACCACGCTTTGGTGAAGGAGCTTCATATGTAGTTCTTAAAAACAAAGAAACAAAAAGCATAGCAAAAAAATGAATTTAGCAATTAGAATATCTCCTGTATTCAGAATTGCTTTTCCTCATTATTTCTGTATTGTATTTACAAACTCAAGTGATTTTTTTTTAAATACATGTATTGTCTGTGGAAGTCAATGAAATGGAAGCGGTAAAGAATAAAAACGTAATGCCTCCAAACACTACATGTGACTTGTCACTAGGATCTCATTGTGCTAAAGTCTTTTCACCATTTAACAGATGAGGTTAGAGAGGATATTTGGGGAAAAGTAGTTTGTTTTTCATCCTTCTAACTCTAAGTATTGTTAAGGTTTGATTTTCTTCATAGATATGATTATTTGTAAAACATATATGTTGTTGTTCAGCTGAGTTCACCCCATACTTCATTTAATATATGTTTAAAATATCGTAGATTTTTGTGTTTTGATCATTAGTGACCTGAAACATATCAGTTGTGGCTGAAATGAAATTTCCTGCCTCTCATGGCCTTCTGAACTGAAAAAAAAAAAAATGTGGAATGTGAACTAAAATAATGAAAATAGCGTAAGGAAAAAAAAAGTATCTGACACATCTTCCTTTTGTCCTTTGGTTTTAAAGCATTTTCTTTTTCTTTATAAAGGCTTGTCAGGATCAACTTCCAGATTGCACCAGTCATCTACCATTTCATCATATGCAACTCTTCGAAGAGATAGGTCCAAGGTAAGTTTTAAAAGAACATCTGAAGATTGCTGTCTTGATCTTCCAAAATTTTCTTAAATCCAGAGTATATGTTGTATAGCAGGAGATGGGATTCTAATGCCACGGGAGAGGACCCACCTCCAATGATCTAAGACTATTTATTTTCTAATTCTCTTAAATGAATCAGGAAGTAGAAAGCCAACTTACTACATTTCTAATAGATTTATGAAAACAAAGTTTGGAACCAAAATCACCTGTACTCATAGATACTGTGATGTTGAAATATTCAAATTAATACCAGGTGATAAAGCAAAATCATCTTAATTTAGAAACAGGGTGGGCAAAAAGTGCTGCTTATTCCTATGCTCCTTATAAACTATTAATTCCAACACATTTTTTTTGTGTGCCTTGTAACTTCTTCAGGAGAGACCAAAGAGTGCCTTGGAACGTTTATACTCTGGAGACCACCAAAGAGGCAAGATGAGTGCAGAGGAACAACTAGAAAGAATGAAACGACATCAGAAGGCATTAGTTCGTGAACGCAAGAGAACCCTTAGCCAAGGAGAAAGGCAGTCTGTTTCATCTCGGTCTTTCATCAGGCCCATTTCTGCAGACATAGGCTCAGTATGTTAGATATGCCTTAAAAGGACTAAACTAGAAATATCTTTGGATTTTTTTTTTTTTTTCCTAGCAAGCACTTTCACTTGAGTGTGTGTGATGCTTCTAGTATAATTAAATTAGTGTTATACAGTATAAAATGAGTTCAGAGAGTGCAAGTAACAGACGGTTGTTTTTTTACTAGTAGTTACAGTATATGTAGCAGATTCGGCAGGTAAGTTGGTCAGAGGTCAGTGTGCTGAGTGGAGGTGAGACTCTGTCAGAGTGAATTCAGAGATGTGATTGTTTTTTTTACTAGAATTGTATTTAGAAAGTGTAAGAAACTTTTAGGATTTTCAAACTGCTTCATAATGGAATGGGCCTTTTAGAATGTTCTTACTCACCATGGTTATTCTTTTAAATTCATAAATTAGGCTGCAAGATAGTTGTGAATAATATCAGGCCAAGCAGGTTGTGTGGTTGGTTTTTCTTTTTTGTTTTTGTTTTTAAGGAGAAATGGATAATAAGCTTTGAAACCTAATCACACTTATTAGAAATTTAAGATCAAATTTGTTTCAGTTGCAGCAAGTCCTCCTTTAAAGCTCGACATGTAGAATATTCTAATAAGGCTCAAATTTAAGCTGCTGAAGAAAAGAATTTTTGTTGTGTTCTGAGATTAAATGCTGTACAGAATCGAAGTTTGTAATGATACGTTTTGGATACTAACCAAAGCAATTCTAATTGGTGAAGCTACCCAGTTGCTCACTTGGTGCTAAACCAAGATTGTACTGTAATTGCACTTACGCTGTAGCCTTTTAATTTATTTTTCATTTGGTCCACTAGAGCTTTAGAACAATCACCTTGTTTTACCTAATTCATTGCACAAGATCTCTTGCTTTTAGATTCGTCACTCATCATACCTAATGCCTCTTTTTGTTTGCTTGTTTTATTTTTAATTTGCAGAATTTTGTAGTTATTTTAAAAATTTCTAACTGGACTACTCAATTTTTACCAGGCTTAATTGCATTTAGTACATGCGTGTCAATTGCTGGCATTTAAACCACCCCTTATAATATGCAGCCTTTCATTCCCACCGCTCAGTAACACTATTTTACAGCCAGTTCTTTATATTTACTTTCCCAGTAAATATGAGTGCACAACTCGGAGACATCCATCTGTTTTGTCTTCTGTTTTGCAACCACAGATTTATTAAAGGTAGTACGTAATACTTGGGAAATATGGAACTACAGTAGAACCATTATTTTCATATTTTAATTAGAGGAACTAAACCTGAGCTTCTGATGTTTCCGAAGTCTAACGTAACATACACAAGTTGAATTTAAACATTTTTGTGACACTCCTTATTAACATTTGTGACAAGTACTTTATCTATAGATTGGGTGCCATCTTGGTCTTTTTCTTGCTGTAAAGAATTAAAATTGAGCCTTTCAGCCCTAGCAGTGTTTTGCAGAGATCATCTCTCGTACCTACAGGGCTTCAAAACGCAAAAAGCATGTTCAGTAGCACAATTACTTACAGCATTGCAATTATTTAGCAGCCAAAATGGCAAACAGTTAAATGTATAATTGAAATGCTGCTCAGTATGTAACATTTGCTTAAAACATGCATTGTATGTGTAACTCGAATTTTTAATCAGTCAGCTCGCAAGTGTAGAATGGCATTTGAAGTATGGATCACAGTACGTGAGCTCATTTGTTATATAAAATGCCTTTTTAATGTAAAAGTTGCAACATCAAAGCCAATAAAAATTCTGCTTTGTAATAATGGTTTGATGTTTTTCTTACCTACATAATTTGAAGATGATACTGTGTATTTGAAGTATACTATGTCAATCAGGCCTGGTTCGAATATGAGTAGAATAAGAAGTTTGGAGTGTGAGAATGATAAAACATTTTTTCTCCTTTGAATTCTGAAAAAGAAATCTTAATTTTTGAGATGAAATTGCCTTTTAACTTCCTAAATATCTATCTTTTGAGTGAATATTGAGAGCTTGTGCATGAATAGGTTTCAAGTAGATTTAATAATGCAAGTAGCATCATGGAGGCTAAGGGCTTCATATAGAGTTCAAACTTCAACCAAAAGAAGCCAGAGACATGTAACAGAAACATTAGACACTTTTATTAAATATAATGGTATGTTCTCCTACTGATAGCCTTAAAAACTTCAGGAGATCATCTTATTGTTTTTGTCCCTTTTCTTCCCCACTGCTTTTAATATGTTTCAAGTCTGTATGGTAAAGTCACTGATATCTGCTGGATGGGATGATGCTGCAACAGAGCTTCATTTTTTGACATTTATGAACAAATGCATTGTTAGGGTTCTTAAGCTTGAGTTTATATGGAGCTATATTGCACGTGGATGTGAAGGAGCTGCTAAGCAATAATTTGGGAACTCTTAAAATTATGCTATTTAATTTAACTATGCTCTGATTGTATTTTTGCTGAATACTTATCTTGTAGGGAGAATGTATAAGATTTTTAATTTTTGCAGGTAGCTAGGTTAATCGAGTGTAAAGTAGCTCAGAAGTTATTAAAATTACTGTTTGAATTTGAGACAAGTTAATGCTAGTACTAAAAATGCCAGCTTTAATCACTAAGTCTTTTCCTAGGAAGACATGCAGAGTTAACAGGCAGCGATTCTCAGCCTGCAGTATTAATGTCCTTTCTGTGTTCTGATTTGCAGCGGCACAGCACTGCCTGGTTAGAATGCCTAGGACAAGGCTAGCACTTTGCAGGCTTCCTTGTACTGACATCTGTACTTCTGTGGATGTTTGTGCTGGTGCCACGTTCATCAGCATTTGTGAAATTGTGATTAATACATGATAGAGTTTAGTACAGCTGCACACTGTGTATAAAATTAAACAGTACTCTGAAATCCATGCAGCACTGCTAGAAATAAAATCTCCCAGCCAGGAGTTGCAAGAAATACAGCAGCATTTTCTTTATTTCTATCAGTTGAAGAGCTTGCTCTGTGGATTCTCTCAGCAAAATAGCCTTTGCAGACACAGTTATGTACATTGCTGAAAGTTGAATTTGTCAGTATGGTTGAACACTATTAATTGTTTTGTATCTATTACCAGTGGAAGCGAGAGCAAGAATTTGATTTGCAGCTACTTGAGAGGGCAATTCGTGGAGAAGACAAGGATGAAAATGAATGGTTAAAAGTTCAGCCAGTAGCAGTAGCGGTGACAGAGACAGACCTGGAGCCTCAAGACTACGATTTAGACATCAGCAGAGAGGTAACACTCATAAATTTGCTTCCTACTGTATTCCCCGATATTAACCTTAAGTTTTATGTAGTCAATTTTCATCTTTTATTTCAAAAGTGAGCTGGAAGTTCAAACTGAAAGGAGTCCTCTGGGTATTGAAATGAAAGCATACTTCTGGCCTGGCTCTTAGGGTGTCTGTAAGCTTTGTGTTCATATGGTGCTCTAGTGGAGAGGAAAGATGGAAAGGTTGGCTCTACCTTGTGAAATACAAAGGCTTTATAGGGAAAAGTGGTAGTTAGGTGATGTTATATGAGAATTAGGAAAAAAAAAATAACAAAGAGTATTTAAAATAAGAAACTGCTAAGAGGTAAAAGTTAGTTCCACAGAGCTACCTTACTCTTTGTTTTGATATGGCAGAAAAGGTTCTGCTGGCTTTTCGTGTGACTTCTTGCTCCAGGGGCAAGATTTGTTTCCAGCTCTGGTATCTGAGTGCAGTATTTGTTTGAAATGCGATTGAGCCATCTAGTGGAAAGGAAAGAGTATAGCAAGTGGAAGGGAGAGGTAAGAGAAGTATGTGCTGCGTGAAATGCCATTGGAGGGAAAGTCAATGAAATTGTTAACAGTAGGAAGACTTTTAGAATAGGAAGCACTTTGACTAAACAGGCCATCCCTGTTTAATATCTTTATTGATAATCTGGATGAGGGGATGGAGTGCACCTTTGGTAAGTTTGCAGACACCGAAGTGGGGGAAGTGCTGATCTATCTGAGGGTAGGAAGGCCCTGCAGAGGGATCTGGACAGACTGATTGCTGAGCTGAGGACAATTGTGGAAGCTCATACATGACCCAGTGCTGGGTCCTGCACTTTGGTCACAACAACCCCACTCATGCATCACTACAGGCTTGGGGCAGAGTGGCTAGAAAGGAGGCTGTATAGAGGAGAAGACTCTGGGTGTGTTAGATGACAGTTGGCTGAATGTGAGCCAGCACGTTTTCTTTAAGACCTTCAGGCTTCTTGATTCACTTGCTAGTCCAAACTAGCACTTTCAGACTGGGACAAGATAAGAAACATTTGTGCATGTAGACATTTCTGACATATCTCAATGTGACTGAAGCAGATCTGAAGGTCTGGGTTTAAAGCTTCTTTCTCCAGTTCCCCAGGTTGTCTTTTTCCATTTCATTTATCCATCCTCTTCACCTGGCCAGTTCTGTACTTCATAAGGCTATACTTTTTATGGCCGATAAATCCTCTATTTGTGTGATAACTGTTGTTTTGGAAGTGGCAGGGTGAGCTGTTCTCAGTTAGCTGTACTATAAATGTACACGTTGATTTGTGGGGGAGCTGGATTTGAAGGTAAGGAAATGTAACAAAAAATCCTTATTTTTCAGAAAGCATTGGCCTAGGGTTTTTTTGAAAGGGACCATAAAAACTTGAAGTTATGATTTTAGTTTTAAGTTATGAATGACAATTACTTACTGAGCGCTTTGGCACTTTGTGCATTGCCTATGTATTACTGATCTTCATCACTGAAGGCAAGTTTGGGTCCAGCTGTGGGAGAAAAGTTCCCTTTCTCTCACTTTTATTTAGTCATGTTTGCAATTTTGCTTTTCAAAAGCAATGTACGCTTTGGCTTTCAGCATCCATTTGTAAACTATGTTCATGCATGTTCATTAGGTGGTTTAGGTATCTTCTGTGAAGCAAAATCTTTCTGCAGGGAAACTGATCCTAACACAAAAATCATTGCCAGCTTTTGTGCAATCAATTTTAATAATTAAAATTTTCAACCTACATAATTGTGTATTGAATGTGTTGTTAATTGCATGTGTTGGTGTATTTGTGGGTCAGCTCCCTGGACAACTTTTGAACACCTAACGTTTCAGATTCTGCAGTCCAGGAATTTCCAAAGGTGTTTATAAATTGGTGGTGTTTTTCTTTCTTTTTTTTTCTGCTGCTCACAGAGGAAGATTATGCCTCAGAAGAGAAGTGCCTAAATGAAAACTTTAGATGATACCTCCTCTCACTTACAGGAAATCCTGGAGTGACATAAATACCTTCCAGTGTTTCTTAAAATTTCTGGTTGCTTTATCACTCTTGTATATGGTTTCTTCTTCCCATTGCAACAGCTACAAGCAGTGCCCTACTTTGAGCTCTAAAGCTGAGCTGAAGAAAGGCTCTCTATTGATTCAAATTTCTTCTGTAATCCTCTTTAATATTTGTTTGATCTATCTTCTAAAAGAAGGGAAAAAGACACTGTTTAAAGGGCATCAGCTCATTTCCAGAGGGAATGTTTAGAATCAGGTACATGTATTGACAGTGCAAACCTGTGCTTTATTGTTTTTACTGTATTCTTGCATTAAGGAGATTAAATCTCAGGGTATTTAAGTCTGGGCTGATAAAACTTGATGCTTGTTTTTGTTCCACAGTTGTCAAAACCTGAGAAGGTTGCGATTCCAGAACGTTATGTTGAATTGGAGCCAGAAGAACCTCTTTCTACAGAAGAACTGGAAGCAAGGCAGCGTAAAGCAGAGAAGATAAAGAATATCCTTACGAAATCAAGGTCAGTTATTTTTTGATCTTACACAGAGGTTGGTGTTAAACACTGGAATCTAACTTCATACAACAGTCTATTTTCTGTACAATTTAATTATGTAAGGAGGGTGGCTTTTAGAAAATACACACAGCATGTATATATTGTGCTCAGCATACTTAAAGCTCCCTTTTAAAGCTAAGTGTCAGAGATTCTAGTATGACAGATTTTGCATATGTCCATTTTCTTGTTTGGAGCACCCTAAAATAGTCACGAGTTATTACTAAACGACCTGTAGGTGAGAGTGGGGAGAAGGCAAAGGCACAGATCCAGCCAAAAGCAGGATAGAATTTGACTACGTAAGGCTAATGTAGAGGCAGCTAAAACATGCATTTTCATGAATGTGGTCACCTCAAGTACCTGTAGTCTCCTAGAAAGAATGCAAATGAGTCTGAACGTAAGGACCACCACTTCATCTGGGCAGTAACAAGAAAGGTTATTAACAGGTTCAGTGCAATAACGTTTTTATAGTGCTTTCCTATAAAATAACCTGTTTACTACAAAGGACTTTCAGGTGTACTTAAGGCTAAGCAGAAATTGTGACTGAATATGTAAACGGCTGCATTACTTGTCTTTGTTTGCCATAGTCAATTAAATACAATATCTAACACTACTTCAAAGAACTTCAGCTAAATACAGAACTTGACATGTGAGATCGAAAAACTACTGTATGAATTCAAGCTTTTTCTGCACAGTGGGCTGCTCTTTACGTTTGTAAATGTTAATGTTGTTTTGCACTTTCCTGCTAGTATGCACAATCTACAGCCTACTGTTGCCCAGGACAAGCACAACTCAGTTGATTTAGATTCACAGCTCCAAGAGCAGGAACGCATCATTACCATATCATACGCTTTGGCTTCTGAAGCCTCTCAGAGGAGCAAGGAGGTAGCAGGTAATACTTAGTTATTTACAAACTAACAGCTATTTCCTATCCGCTTATAAAGTTGTGTGTGGTTGTTGCTGAATTCCTGGCCTAAGAGAAGTTTTTAGCAATTCATATTCAAAATATTCATATTCAGATAGGAGTGTGGTGTCTATAGATAACATGAAGAGAAGTTAAGGTTTATGCTGAGCATTTGACATTCAATGGGAGAATATACTGTGATCAAAAAGTTTAGAACTTGAAAAATCACTCTACTGTAATAACACTGAAAACGTAATAGTTTCAATGGATTCCCTATAATTACATGAAATGAGCTATTTCTGTACTCATTTTTAAAAAGTAAATTGGTCCTTTATTTAAAAAAATTGATATATATATTTTAAGAAGGAGATATATATATAAATTTTTTTTAAAGAGAGGTGCACTGGTTTCTGTGATTGAAAGTATAGTAGAATCACTTGCAGCTTGAGATTTACGACAGCAGGCTAAAAGTCTTAACATTGGTATATTTCTGTTTGGTGATCAAGATTAGGGACCAGAGCAAGACAAGCATGCATGAATTCTGCTTGATGTCTGGAGATTACTAGACCCTTTGCAATATGTTAGTAAAGATGATAATTTCACTCTCGATTGCTTTATAGTTGAAATAAATAAAAAGTGTCAACAGATTTGTATGGCACAGTAATGGATGCAGCAGCTATTCTAGCCAGTACCTGAGCAGCCATTTATAACTGGCACTGCTCACTGTTCCAATGGAGAACAGAAATAATGGAATCTTAACTATGATGGAGAAAAGTGTGCACATTTCTCATCTGAAGCTGTCAGTTTAAATGTATGACACTTGCCACAAAAGCCCTCAAGACTTTCCCAGTAAAGACAGATTATTCTAATATCCAGATACGTAACGTGCATCTGTAATAACAGGCTGTGGATTGGATATGGCTGTATACTCACAGATTCAGTGGCAACTAAACCTAAGGGGAATGCAATTTTCAGGGGAAGGGATACATTTTCAAGTTACGAATCTTGAAACTAAGGAGAGTTTCAATAGGTGACTTAACTACTGGAAGGAATAAAAGTGGTTCACTAGGGAGGGTAGACAACATAAATAAACAGAATTGTAAGGCGCTGGGATCATTTCAGGAATAGCTTTTCAGACCCTCAGTCTTCTCTGCAGGAATTCTGGTCCCAGTTCTAATAACCAGGTCCTTGGTACTGTAACACTGACTTGCGTGCTTTGGTTATGGAGTGGGACTTGTGTGTTTCAGAAGGTATGAACCAACACAGCATTTTCCCTTATGAGTTCTAGCTGCTTCTAGGAAAAGCTAACACTCTTGCTTGAAATTATTCCAAATTTTGGAAATTCTTAAAATAAAATAACAAAATAACAATTGACTAATGGCGTGCAATCCATAAAAAGAGTATAGGATTTTGGATTATGGGGCATTTTATGATAATCTAAAGTGATTTTAAATGAAAATAATGTGATGCTTTGCACAGCTGATTGCACATTCTAATTTATTCCAATTTTACTTAGTTCTTCATATTTTCATTTTCATACTTTGAATTTAAAATATATATTTTTCAAAGTTGCTTTTTGCTGATGAAGCAAACCATAGCTGAAAATCCAAACTTACATGTCCAGATTTTGTATCAAAATTTGCTTTGAAAGAGACTCTTACTTACAAAGTAAGGCTTAACTTACATTTTTTTCTTCTGTGAAGCAGATAACTAATGTTAGGATGCTGTGATAATGCACTTCACTTTTAATATAGACTGTGCATTTGGCTAATGCCTGTAATGTAGCATTGTAGAGTTCCTCTGAGCTAGCAGGAAATCCACCTTCTAAACAGAAATCCTGCCAAGGATCTGAAAGATTAAAATAAAATGTACAAATTTTATGAATTTAGTTCCTGAATTGTGTTGTTTGGAAACCTTTAGCCTTCTAAAATGAAAAGGCAGAATTTAAGACTGATTCAGTCTCTATAATTTTAGAATTATTGTCTTTAAATTACTCTGCTTTATAAACAAGAATATTTTTGTTTTATTTTTTATCCTGAAGTTTCAAGCTGAGATCTGAGAATTGATTTGTCATGCACTGCATTACATAAAAAGTTATGTATATCTGTAAAATATTTTTGTTTGTGATTTTCTAAATAGCATCTTAATTTCTGCTTTTTATCTGTAACCAATGAAAGGCTGAGAACCTGTACAACCTCAGAGAAACCTCAAAACCAAATTATTAAACAGCAGTGCCCTTCCAGAACTGATTTTAAAAGCAGGATTTGATTAGGGTGCATGAGTGTTGTGTGTGCCTTAGTATCATCCAGTCATGAGATAATTGTCCAAATTCTCATCAGAAGAATGTTTATTTGCATAATTTAATGTGACTAATAGGAAAAAGCAGCAATTAGAAATGTTGTTTGTGCTCCATGTAACTACAATAGTGTAACACCTCACTGCGTTACTAATCAGGTTTCTTATTCATGTGTTAGAAAATTGAGGTGGCTCTGTTTTAATGTGAATTTTCGATTGTGCAGCCTAATTCCTGTATGTGATCCCTTCTAGCTCAGCAGTTGACCTACCCACCCAAAGCACCCTCACCTTCTGTACCACAGCCACCTCACTCTCCCCTAAGCAATGGATTTCACTACACATTTGTTTAAACACCTTAAAAGTAAGAACTAACTGCTCTTGACATGTCTGATTTACCATTGTATCTTCGCTGTGGCTTGCTGAATTTTTAACACCTAAATCAGATCCAAATCAACGCATGCATCCATTTTTCAGAAACCTTCCGTTCTTGTATAATAAATATTGCTTCTAATGAGCTAACACAGCTAATAGTCTTCAAATAACTGCTGTGGCTTTCCAGATGAGGAACTTCCCTACCCTTACTGTGGTGAAGGAAAGAGGCATCTATACTCTTGGTAGCGTGGGGCCAAATTTTCAGCCACAATTTGTACTCCCATGGCCAGTGTTGCATACAGCTGTGGCTGCAGCTGGGCTTGAAGGCAGTTTTACTTGCATGTGGCCTCTACGTTTGCTGCACAAGAGAACTGAAAGTGCAACCAAAGTTGTGTATACAGGGAGGTAGTTTATGGGCTGATATCTAAAAGTACACAGGCTAAAACTCAAGTCTTTGAGGTGAGCTGAAAATTTGGCCCTATATAACTAATTATGCAATACAGTGACTGCTTTGTGCCTCCGTGGTGTTTTTTGTTTTTGTTTTTTTTTTTCTGGATTGTGTTAACAGAAGTGTTAGTTTTTGTCTCTGACTAGGTTATTTTGACATTTCAAGTATTAAGATAAATTTGTTGTTCTTATAAAGAAATACGTATCATCCCTTCCCAGTAGTATTTGCAGTGTTTTTTCTATTTGAAATAGAAGAACCTATCAATATTATAATTGCTAACTGCTAGATGTGCTGTAGTTATAGCACTTGTGTGTCTCTAGTTTCCTTCAGAAGTGTTTTCATCTTCCTGATTTCCTTTGGACTAATTTTGTTGGCTAATTCTGGAAAAGAACTTAAAACAGAGACGAAGCAGTAAGGCAGGTGGATTGAATGAATGCCTTAAATAGTGTTAATATTTAGATACCTTTGTTTTCAGTTTCACTAATCTGAATCAAGTTCTTCTGCAACAAATACAAATGAAATAGAAGTGAGCATGTTCCAGGAAACCCAATGAGGCACTGACCTGTCTTCAGAAAGGCCTGCGGTAAATGAGAGAGGTAGAGAGAGAGAGAACGTGCAGAGACATTCAGAGCAGTTCTACAGAACTTGGTAGAAATAGCTATTTGTGTTTCTGGTTCTGTTTATCTTTCTAAGAACCAGATTCTAACCGTCTTTACTATGTCTGAGTAACAGTTGACCCTGCTAGGATATCGTCAGGTTTGAGCGTGGGTTGGACCAGGTGAGCTTCCAACCAGAGGTCCCTCTCAACCTCAACCATTCTGTGATTCCAGGCAGACTTCACATTTGTCAAATGTCTGTATAAATGTACATGCATACATGTGTGTGTCTGAAAAATGAAAAAAATTGCAATAAGCAGCAATATGCAGGGGACCTGACATTTTGAGCATGAGTTCAGTGATATCACGTGTCAATTGTTTGCTTAACGTGTCAGTACTAATTTTCTTCTTTCTGCCTATCTTCAGGAGTCTTTAACGCAAACGTACATTTCCTGAAAGTGCTTGCTGCTTGGCATCAGTGCACTCGCTTTCTTATTTAACCATGTTTTATTTTACTTCACACCAGCCAAAGCAGTAAGTGAGCAGTGATGTAAGACTCGAAGCCAATCCCACCCCAGTGGCGCCGCATAGAAGAAACAGGAGACTGATTGCGAGCACTCTGTGAAGGCATTCACTGGCTGATCACAGGTTCTTTCTTTTGGAAATATGTTCAGAGAATAATGGGGGATTTTCTATGAAAATGGAGAGAATTGCTTAACTTCTTATTTTGACTTCAGTTTAGTTCAGACTTTTTATATGAATGGATGGCACTTTTAATAAACTCTGTAAAATACTGACAATGTATTTTTAGAACAGAATGTATTTTGGAATTTGTTTAAATCAAGGGCTGAATTCATTTGAAGAGGAACTACTTGCATAGTTGTTATGAGATGCTGTTACTTCCCCCTCAGGCTCAGAAGCACAATGTAAAGTTTTATGGAAAAAAATGCAAGTTGAACAATCCTAGAAACACGTTTGTAGGGTATGGGTAGAGCTAACCCCACTTGAGAGGTTTACTGTAGGGCTGTTTTGGGTTGAGTATCTTAGTAGAGTTAATCACCCACCCTTTTGCCCATGGAGTAATACATTGCAAGGAACTTGTAGTTTGATTTCCTAAATCTCAGTATAGCTGAAATTTTCCATGAAAGCCATTGCAAAAAACAATTTTTAACTCCTGTTTCCTTTTTTGATTGCATGTCATTAGCTTGCTGGTATTGATACACAGCATGCTAGATTGCTCCTGACTGTAGTAACAACCAGCTAACAAAGTATATTTTGTTTTGAAAGCTGAGATATGGAAAAAGGAAACTTTTAAATTAAAGTATGTCACGTAAGCAATAAGAAAAATAGGATGTGTCATTTTACTAGTAAATATATATTTTTTTCTTCAGAATATCTTTTCAATAAAAAGTACAATATGATGTATTGACTAGTATTTATGCTGGAAACAGTAAAAGTGATGTAATGTGGCACCTGCTAATTTTATAAGTTCACCTCATGCTTAACTTTACCAAACTTTGAAATTCAGCATTCTTCTTATATGGCGAAGGGTGAGGTGGTTACAAAAGGAGAAAAGAATATTAAATGAATGGCTACAAGTGCTTTACCTGGAAAAAAAAAAAAAATACTGAGTGCAAGATATGCAGAAATTGCCCAATATTAGGTAGTTGAGTTCGGCTCTAGATAAAGAACGGCTGAGAAATAATTTGCAGTATTTTGTGATACTACTAACTTGTTTATATGCTGTGTTCAAGTAATAGATACAAAGCCCTGGAAACTGATTGAACGTCAAGTTTCAGTCTAAGTCAAATCATATTATCTTAACACTGTAGTCGGAAATATTCTTTAAAATATATATTTAGCTAATGTTATCTATTTTACCTCAATACTGCCAGTATCAACTTCAAAACCTTTTTGCCAAAATAATGATTTATTTTTGCCTTTATAAAAAAGTTTTGAGAGCATAAATGAATATTTTGCAAGAAAACATTAATTTAAATGTAACAGTTTGGAAAATGGTATATGTACAGATTAAAATATTAACATAACTGCCTCCTCTTGCCTCTGTCTTGCCTGCTCTTACCAGCATCTGTACAGTTTGACATCCAGCGTTGTTTGTTCTGTTTCCACATCTAAGAGTAAATCCCATTGAAGCTCCTGAATTTTGCACTTTCTTCATTGGAATTTGAATCACCCTACACCAAAGCTTCATAATTTCTGGAAATATTTCTTACCATTTGATTACATCTATTTTATTCTTAATTAGAATGGTTATTCAGGGTGCTGTCCTAAATACAACTACTGCAACACTGACCTTTCTGTCTCACAGATGTGTGTTTGTCTGACACATTCTTAGTCCTTGAGTGCCTGGTGATTAAGGTACCCCAAGTAACTTCATCTAAATGGTGGCTCCCCTCCTCACTGGCATTGCCTGGTGGTGTGTGGGGGTACAGCTGACCCCACAGAGTGCTGGAGCTGCTAACCTACATCTGAGAGCTTGTGCTCTCAGTTCCCTCAGTGGATGTGAGTTTGAGGGAGAATAGTGGAAGTGTTTAATGCTTCTGGAAGTTGATATGTAGAACAAAATGCAGAGGAGCAGTTTGTATTTCTGTGGCTTAGTGTCGACTCCAGGACCTCGAGAGCGAGCATTTAGGAATGTGAGTCCTTGGCCTCCCAGCTGAGCTGCTTATGACGTGCTCCGTCTGTTCCTCAGATTCACAGACTGAAATACAAAGGAGCCTTTGACCACGTGTTTTGTGGTTCAGTGAAACTGCATTCCTTCTCCAGAGGCTTTGTTGTGAGGGGTAGAAGAGAATGGAGCCGTAATTGGGTGAGGAGTGCAGCCCATGGCCTCCTGAACCACTGCAGGCATTGAGTGCTAATTCCTGTGCTGCTCTGGCAGTGAAAGGGAAGGACTGAGGGCAGCTTTGCTTTGCAGGTTGCAGGAGATGTTCATTTTCCTTCCTTCAGTCATGTACCCAGAATCTGCTCATTCAAGCTGGTGTTTAAGAGGAGGCTTTAGCACTAACCAGTTATACCATGAGTGCTTGCAGTGAAATGAACTGTTCAAAGATTTTGGTCTGTGTCCATAATTAATCTTATATATGGGGACAAAAAAATAATTGACTTTCTTCTGAAACTTTTCATTAAATACGTGAAATGCTATACTTCATTGACCACCCTTTTGTAGGAGTGTGTGTAGTCTTCAAATAATTACAGGTCATTTTGATTGGCATGTAGTATTTGCTTTGGGACAGTTTCCTTTTTCAGTTGTTTCTGCCCATCAAATGTTGTTTTGTAGGTTTAACTACTTCTCTGATATCAAGGCTAGAAAGAAAGAAAGAAAAGGTATCTCTGCAGACTGCTGCATTCCAGTCAGAGGGCAACACTTTCTTCCAGTCCATTTAGAAGATTAAGTGCAATTGCAATTAAGGAAGCAGAAACAGTGACAGTTGTTTTGAAGGTGCTGTCTTCTAGTCAGTGTCTTCTAATGTTACACCAGGCAAAAATTATGCAGTCTGCGTACCTTTTACCTCTGTTTTTTTGCACAAATGTTTTATCATAAAACTGCACCTTGATGGTTGTAAGTAGCACAGCTTCCACCTTCCTGAACTCGTGTAACACCACCACCACCCCATTTCTCACCATTTCATGTGCTGATGGACTGCCAGGAATCCTGTTGTGCTGTTGCCTCTCTATGTATGAGGACATACAGTTGTCTGAGGAGTGGCATCCATACTGCTTTGGAACAGTTAGGGAGGGGGAAAAAAAAAAAAACACTTTGCCAGCAAGTTTTTTTGGGGAAACAATTGTATGGAGAGATGCTATTCTGGAAAGCTGCAGCTATCTGGAACTGAAAGCTGCTGAACGACACTATTAAACTCGTGTGCTGCTATTTCCAGAAATTGCCAGAGGGTAAATGAGGTGGGCTCAAGTACCCCATCAGCTCTGGGAGGATGGGTTGCCCGGCTCCCATTGGTGTTGTTTATGGGGTTATTTTTCCACCTTCCTCATTTACCCATCTGACTTCCAGATCTCTAAATAAGTGTGTATATATTTTATATTGGTGGCTTTTGCTCTGCATAAAACCACACATTTCCCAAGTGTTTTAGCAATTAACTTCTGGATGTTATATGAAGGAAGGAGTGGATTTACTTAGTGCCGAAACTTAGAAGATAGGAAAGGCACGATCTGATGTTACTCCTCTGATTTATGTCTGTCTTTGGGTATTTTAAAGTGTTTGCTTGTGGTGTGTGTGTGCACGTATATTGCGTAGTTATAAAAAGAACAAAGGCAAGCACAGGAAAGACATGAAAAGTTGCTATATTTTCCACACCTAGTGAACATTCCCATTGGTTATTGGGCTGTATTCAAAAGGCTACGACTGTTTTATTGCTCTACCAGCAAAAGCAACCTTTCTTCATAGTGGAGCAGTACAAAGAAAGAGCACAAAAAGTACACACATCATAGTGCCTGAAATTCTGTTTGAACAACTGTATTGATTGGGTCTGACCCCTTTACATTTTTTTCCATTATTTGAAAAGGTGCATCTAACCATAGCTGAATTGAACCAACTGAGATGAACTTTCCATGAAAACTTCTTGAGATATTTCTTTAGTTCAAAGCTTTGGAATTTTAAAGAGCATTTTTAATACAAGTCTGTCGAGGTATTCTGTGCAACAACCAACTTTGAATGTTAAACTACAGGTAAACCTCAGAGGAAAGTGAAATCATAAAGCTCACTGTGAAATTACTGTGAGATGACAGAATAACTGAGTGTTAATTATAAAAGAAAACTGATCCAGAAAGTATTGCATACATGCATGTTTGTGCACTGCTCACCTGTTATTTACTCCTAAGTGTCCTTGTTGGCTTACAGAGAGTGTTAAGTAGCCCCAGACAAAACATTAAATTAATCAAGGGTGGTTGGTTTGGGTTTGTTTTGTTTTTTTGCAGCAAGCAGTAATTTATTGATGAAATAGTGTTATAAGATGTGAGCTCAAAGGATAATGATGCCGTCTTTTGCCCACTAGAAGAAACCTTTTACCAGGAGCTAAGTGTAAGAAGGTACTGAAGGGAGAAAGAAATTAAAAGGAAATGAGGGTGAGTAGGGAGTTTGTAGGATATGGTGGCTGCTGTATCTGCAAACAAGTCTGTGAAAGAGGCTGAAGTGGAGAGTGGAGAACAGCCTTGTGTGTGAGGCAACATGTTTGTAGAAGGCTTGAAGGAGCTGGGATACAGTGGCTTTGAAGCAAATCACTGTAATAAATCCCTTTAACTCAGCCTAAATTGTAGAGGTAAGAACACCTGGCAAGTGAGAGAATGCAATTCCCATGTCCTAGTACAAAAGATGCTTTGTGAAAGGGATTAATGAAAGGACAGTACTGATGGTGGCATTGGATGAAGGAGGGAATCACAGGTGACAAATAAGTGATTTGGTTAAAGGAAAATTCCATTGCTAGGTGCTTTGCTTTGTTCTTTTGAGACAAATCTTAGCTATTGTCAGCAAAACCCTCTTTTTTGTGTGTGGAACAGTTTGTCCCAGAGCCAGGGGTGGAAGAGGCTGGTCCTCCCTGGCAAGAAATCCAAGAGTGAAAAGAAACCAGTTTGGATTGCCTAACTTTCTTTTCTTCTGCAGCCTTTGGTGTGGCTGGATATACTTGTGATGAGCACACGTACTTATCATGGGTTAACAGGATTTCCCTGCAGGTTGAAGTAGACAGATGTGCAAAAGTTAAAAGTGAGAAGATTGTTTATATATGAGCCTCTGTGTTGCTTGACTGATGGATGATACAAAAAATTATTTTCTTTTATATGGTAATTTCTTTTTTTTTTTAATTATTATTATTTCTGAACAAGATCTTCCTGAACTATGAGACACTGGAAATGGGACTGGATTTGGATAGACAATAGCACAAACTGTTGGTGGGATCTCATTCTGCACCTCAAAAGCAGGTATAATTAGATTAAATGACAAAGTATTTTGGTTCTTTGTGCAAAACCTGAGGAAACTTTTATCCGTCATGGTGCTGTACATATCGGATAATTTTCTCAAGAAAAGTGTACATGAGGTGATACTCCTAAAAAAGAAAAAAACCCAACTTCCACTTTGCCCCTTCAATGGCACATGTCCCTTCTCTTAATCCCCTGATAGCTAGACGAGGCTGATACAGGTAACTGTGCCAGGCTTTGATTATGAGATATTGCACTGCCACTTATTCTCTTTGTTTCCTGCAGTTTACAGAGGCAGCTTCAGTGCATAATTTAATCCCTGTTCTGGGGACTGCAGTAAATCCACAGAGGTTTCTGCCAACCGTCCTCTCTGACATCAGAACAACATGT